AGCTGCTCGATTGTTGGACCAAGTCCTGTCCATCTGTTCCCATTTCTGACTCAAGTTGAGCCCGAAGAAGTCTCATTTCTATCTGCGCGAGGCAGAATGGTGTGGCAAGGAGATTTCGGCCGATGGAATCACCCATTCCCCAAGCCGAATTCAAGGACTCGTGGATTTGTCGCCGCCGACGACCGCGGCGGACCTCCAGCAGTTTGTGTGTGCCACCAACTGGATGCGTGCTAGCATCCCCGGCTACAACCAGCTGGTGGATCCGTTGCGACGTCTGCTCGACGTGGCCACCAAGGCAGCCGGAAGCTGCAAGAAAACGGCGTTAGTGCGTGTTGCACTCCCTGCCGTGGGATGGTCGTCCGACCATCTCAAGTGTTTCAACAACCCAAGTGGCTCGAACGTCAACATGGCCAAGTATCAGGCCGACAAGCTGCAGCGATGGTCGCTGGAGATGCCGACCTTCCCGTACACCATTGAGTGCGTCTCACGCGAACGTGTGGGGCGACCACCTGAGCCGATGGGGTTTGGCTCCGGCGGATCAACCAGTTGTGAATGTTCGCGAGTTGATCCATGTGGTGTCGCCCCTGCAACAAGTGGATTTCGAGTGGCCGACAGCCGCTACGATCAGCGGCATCCAACGTTCAACCATGGAGGGGGGAGGGACCCCCCCAAACGGCGTGGATTGGGACGACAACGGCGTGGATTGGGACGACGACTCCCATTTTTACGTGGACCCAGACGGACGAATCTGGATCCCAGACGGTGCTGTCGACCTACAGTAGCGGATTTGTGTGATCGCTCACCAAGGAGCCAGCGTGAAGGACAACATGAGTGGCTTTGTGCAGCAGTTCGCAGCAGAGTCCGCTGACTCCGCCGCGACCGCTCAGTGCCTGATGACGTGGTTTACCACGTTCGGCTGCGTTCACACATGGGTGCCAGATGGCGGCTCTCACTTCAAGAACGAAGTGACCGAGAAGGTGCGGAAGTGGGTGGGTGCCCACTATCACATCACAACAGCCTACAGTCCTTGGGCGAACATGACTGAAGAAGTAGTCAACCGACTAGTGCTGCGCGCCGTGAAGGCGCTGCTCAGCGAAATGAAGCTGAACGCGGACGAATGGCCGCACGTGTTGCCCCTCGTTCAGGGCGCCCTCAACCATCAACCGACGTCACGGTCCATCATGCGTGCCGACTGAAGATATACCACGAAGATGGTAGAGAGATGACTGAAGACCTCGAGGCGCAGATCAAGTTTGGCGATGGCGGATTTCATGTGGAGCGCCTGGACGAAGCGCGCTGCGTGGACGGCCAACATCAAGTTTTGATGAAGTGGCTTGGATTGGACGATGAAGTATCGTCCTGGGAACCTGCGGCGAATTTGCTGGACGACATCCCAGTCGTATTTCGCAAGTGGGCGGCGGCGAACAAGAAAGACCCTGCCGTGGCTGCCCTCATCAAGACACTGGACTTTCCGTAGGAGGGGAAGTGTTCTGCAGCGTGCAGAGCAATTGGGTCGCGCGTTAGTTTGACCCATTGCAAACACACACACCCTGTGTGTGTGGCGTGTCAAAACTTCCGATACCTTAGTGGAGGTACTGAGTACTTTAGTGAATGGTAGTCAGTAGGCGTCTCGTGGAGTGTTTAACATCACTAATATCAGTGTGTATATTTGCTGCCTTGACAAAGGTCCCGTGGCCGAAAGCCAAGAAGAAGCGGTAGACAAAACAGTGGGACAATTTGGTCTTGAGCCAAAGCAGCGACGGCCGCGGTGAAAGCGAGAAGGAGTGCGAACTTCATGATGGAAATTGGAAAATGAATGGTCTTTCACCTAGAACGAAGTCAATCCAATCGTTAACGTCAGACTGTGCTTGCACTACCAAGTGCCAAGGTTAACCAAATGGATGGTTGGGATGTGTACAACATACATACATACATGCACTCACGCAGTTCTTGTCCTCTTGTCATAAATATCCAACAGCGTGGCCGACAATCTTGCCAGAAAAACCCGCTAACGTTACTGTACCGGTATCGCACTGCCAAAGGATGAAGGATCCACATTGTGAAGAATAATTCCCTCATTAAAACATTTCCACTGTTGTTTTGACCCGAAATACTATTGGATAATGTGCACACTATCACCAAAATAATATAGCTCAGCGCAGAATTTAAATCATTCACCGGACTTGATTAATGTATGACCAAATGGGTAACATGCATAACGTTATACAGAGGTAACGTAAACTCTATAGTACGAAGTA